TTTCAACATAAAATATCATAATTTCGCTTTTTGAATCAGGGGTTCCTAATGTTGAGACTCATATGAATCTTATTTTTGATCTTATTTATTTTAAGAATATCATTCTAATCTTTTTTTAATCAAAGAAATTATGAATTGAATCGAGATTTCATTTCTATTGAAAACTTACAGCAACTTGCCAAACAAAAGGCTAAAAGAAAAAAAAGCAACAATGATTAGATTGAAAAAGGCATAAGTCTTGTGCAATTTGGCAAAATAAAAACTACTCGGATAAAGTGTAGAATTAAGACATATATAGATTAAATTAAAGATATTAAACATAACAAATTTTGTTGTTCTTAAAGATTAAAATGAAATTGAATTGATAATAAATTATCAGGCTGGATTGAGTTGTTTTTTTTTTAAGGAAATTTTAAAATAAAAAAGTAGATAAAAGAAATAAAATATTTTTCTTTGACTTCTCTCCAATCAAGAATCCTTCCTTACATTCCCCAATCAAATAAGAATACAAAGAATTCTATTTTCATACAATATCTTAATTGAACTCAAAGCAATGATCAATTAATCTTTTTTATTCTATATATATTGTGTTAAATCCCAATGACGACATGTCCTATATTTTTTTTTGGTTGGTTATTGACGAAATAAGTGCTCTGGAGAGTTATAGAAAAGAAAAGGGTTAATAATGATTATATTCAAATCATTAAGGATATGTATGCATGAGTTATTACTTGTGTTAACCAAGTATTTTCCTATTTCTGTCGGATTACATCAAAGGATCAACTTTAAGCCCATATCTTTTTGCTTTAGCCATGGATGTTCTTACTAGACATTTGCAAGAGGATGTACCCTGATGTATGCTTTTTGTTGATGATATTCTTCTTGTTGATAAGGCTAAAGAGGGAGTTGAAGGTGAACTTGAATTATATGGAGGTCAACCTAAGAGTCTAGAGATTTTCATTTGAGTAGATCTAAAACTGAATACATAAAGTATAGCTTTAGTACTAATAGATCTAGTGGGGGGATTGTGACTTTAGGCAATCAAGCCATTAATAAGAGTACATGTTTTAAATATTTCGGGTCTATTGTTGAAAGTGATGGTGAAATAAAATGAGATATTATTAGTAGAATTCAAGGTGGATGATTGAAGTGGAGGAATGCATCGGGCTTGTTGTGTGATAGGAAAGTGCCCCCTCAAACTTAAAAGGAAAATTCTATAAGATGGTGGTGAGACTTTTAATGCTTTATAACGCATAATGTTGGCCATTAAAGAGAAGCATAAAATTAAATGTTATAGAGATGAGGATGCTCAGGTGGATGAGTGGATTCACTTTTATATATAGAATATGAAACGAATATATACATGAAAAGGTTAAAGCAACACCAATGAAAGATAAGATTAGGGAGAGTTGTCTTAGATGGTTTGGTCACATAAAACATCAACCTTCTAATGATTTAGTTAGGAGAGTAAATATATTAGATTTGGCCTATGTTAAGAATGGTAGAGGTAGACCTAAAAAGATTTGGTTTAAAAATATTAGAAATGACTTTTTTTTATTAGATTCAAATGAGAATTTGACTCTTAATAGAACATAATGGAGAAAAAGAATTCATGTAATTGACTCTACATAGTGGGATAAATGTTTGATGCTATTGTTGATGTTGGTTATTGACGAATAATTAAAATTAGCTTAATTTTTCTTAGAAAAAATCAAAATGGGGCATGGCTAAGCGATAAGGCAGCAAATTTTGGTCCAGAGCTTCAAATCCTTATGCCCCATATCATTTGCATAAAAAACAAAGGATTACTTTCTCTTGAAATTAAAAATTGAATTCAACAATTTTATGTTTAATGTTGGATACACTAAATTCTAAGATTTATTCTTAGAATCTTTTTTTTTTAATAAATTATTTTAATCTTAAATATTCGTGATTATTTTTGTTAACAATTCTTTGCTTTATATAACTAGGCAAGTTTAAGCTTGCAAAAAACACCATGTAGATGAGGGAGAAGGATTAAGGCAATTCGAGGATGCTTACAACTACTAAGAAATTAAGGAAGAGTAGTAGCCATTTAGGCTAAGTTCATTCATTATATTTGCATGCCCTAGTATTCCCTATAAGAGTATTTATAGCCTATAAAACACATAATAGCCTATTTAGCCATTTTAATATACAATAACATATAAACTAAATGGAATCACTAATAGCCAATTAAAATGTTGCTTACATTAATGCATACTATTTCTCAACCCTTCACATTGACCTTTCCCTCAAGATCTGAGTCGTTCATGCAAAAGGCCTACGGATCTTGCAAGTCATACACAGCCTGGCTCTGTGGAAGGCATGAGGTGGAGATTGGCCAATAAGAGGTTTTTGCAAGGCATAGAGGCGGATATGAGTTCAGCAATACTTGGGGAATGTGAGATACAACGAAGACTAAGGAGTGGGGATGACGATAACAAATGATGTGTGGGGCAGAGCTTGCAGATTTGAGATTGATGTAGTGTTAAAAGTTCAACGATGCAAGGTTGGGAAAATTGAATGGGTTGGGCAACTGGAGGTGAGTTTGCATGGAACAACTAAGAGTTGAGAAATTTTTGTTGGAGATGAAGGTTCGATTTTGGCTTGGAGTGGTGAATTGGAGATAGAATCTTGCAAAACACAATGATGCATGTTATATCTACAACAACAATAGGATTAGCAATGTTTAAAATTGTGTATTCGGGTATTGAGGCATTTTTCGTTCGTGAGGCGAGGCGTAAGCCTCAAAATCAAAAAATTGCGTAAACAGAAAATGATAAATTTTGTATATAGTAATGAGTAAATAATATATAAAATATAAAAATGCACAAAATATGAAGTGAAATCAAAATATCCCAATAAAAAAACAACATGAAATATAGTTCAACTCAAACTCCATCTTTCCCAAATCACAGTATTCCTTTCACTAACATATAAGAGTTATTTTGAGCGGTACCGGAACAAAATTTTATTGTAAGAGTTATTTTGAGTGGTACCGAGCGGTACTGGCTCGGTACCGAGCATGTACCTAGTGGTACCGAGCATGTACCTAGTGGTACCGAGCATGTACTGCTCAGTACCGAGCATAATTTTTAGAGGCGGACGCTTCTCAACCGTGAGGCGAGGCGCGCCACTCAGTAAACTTGAGACGTACGCCTCAAATCTTGAACTCATTGTGTAGGCTTTGAGGCTTAAATGGACGAAATTGTGCTGAGGCGCGCCTCTTATTGCGTAATTTTAAACCATGAGGATTAGGTAATGTTTTTGAAGCGAATGTGGATTGGGGTATAGGCAAATGTGGATTGGGGTTTGGCCGAATCCACGATTGTGAGGAGAATGGGATGTTGGAGGCAGATTGCAAACTTAAAATCTATTGGATGGGTTGGGCAACTGGAGGTGAGTTTGCATGGAACATCTAAGAGTTAAGAAATTTTTGTTGGAGATGAAGGCTCGATTTTGGCTTGGAGTGGTGAATTGGAGGATAGGATCTTGCAAAACACAATGATGCATGTTAGGTGTAAGGTCTACAACAAAAATAGGATTAGGTAATGTTTTTGAAGCGAACGTGGATTGGGGTTTGGCCGAATCTCACGATTGTGAGGAGAATGGGATGCTAGAGGCAGATTGCAAACTTAAAATGTATTGGATCTAATAATTCTTTGGCAAACTGAGATGAAGAAGCTATGATCAAGATTTGGCGATTGAGACCAGATGATGACGACACCCGAACAATGGCTAGGCTAATGAGAGCATCATTTGGTATTACAAAAAAATAAAAGAAAAAAAACACAGAAAATCACAAAGACATCATATAAGGTAGCAAGAACAATATAACTAGGCAACTTTGAGCTAGCCTAAAGCTCCAGATAATTGAAAGAGAAGGATTTAGGCAATTCAAGGATGCTTACAACTCCAAAAAAATTGAGGAAGCTCCAAGATAGTGAGGGAGAAAGGGAACACCATTAATGCTAAGTTCATTTATTGTCTTTGCATGCCCTAATTTTCCCCAAAAAAGGGTAATTATAGCCTAGAAAATGTTTAATAACCTATTAAACCATTTTAATATGGCAAATAACTTATAAAGTACTTGTGCCCACTGATCACAAACCAAAATACCCCTTACATTTATTTGTATCATATTGCCGTGGAGAAAACTTCCTACATGGGAAGCAACCACAAAACTGACGTGATGTTATTACTCATATGGAGTAAGGACATTGTGTTCCTCAATTCCTTTTTAAAAAGCAGCAGAAAAGAAATAAATTATCAAATTAATAATTAGCAAAGCAACCAAAAATTTGTTCAAGAACCTTCTTTCAGACCACAAATTCATCCATAACCATGTTACAGTGAAAAAAAAAACTAGAACTAAAATTCCATATAACAAAAGTAAGGACAGTTAGAATATCTATTTCTTGATAAGGATTTAAAATGAAAAAGTAAAAATAAAATACCATACAACAAAAGTAGGGATAGTTAGTGTTCCCATTTCCTAGTAAGATCTTTCATAGCCAATTGACAATATCAACTCTGTTTTATCCATTTTGTAGATCTCATATGTCTTGGTGGATCTCAAAGGCTTTCTATATTTCTAGCATATGATCAAATAAGATTCAAGAGCAGATGACTCCCACAAAGACCCCAGGTGGTTTAGTGGGTTCTTGGTACATGACACCTAATGATATTTAGAAAATTTCATTCAAGGGGGGAGTGGTGACCAGTGTGAGGAACTCTCATATAACGGGGAGATTGCTAGTTCCACATGAGAATGAATATTAATCTTACATCAGAACTGAAACAAAAGTTGAATTCTTAATATACTACTAGTGTCCATTGCCCATTAGTTTAAGCATTTGATTTGATAAGTACCTATCTACTAATGCATTAAGCTTAGTTTTAATCCCCAATGATTCACCTTCCAAGCAAATATAATAAGATGTTTAAAAGAAATTATGGAAAAGCAGAGTTTGAGTCACCTTCCCATAGCATCATATGTAGCCGCAAGATTAGTGTATACTCCAAGAGTGTCCTGATGGCTTGTACCATATTCCTGCTCCAATATTCCCTTTGATTCTTCAAAAAGCCCTGCAGCTTCATCAATCTTAAACAACTGAATGCAGGACAATCCCATTTGGTTTAGCACCATCCCAAAGAATGCTGACTTCTTCTCACCAATTGCCCTCAGCTTCGCAACAGCACTTTCAAAGGAGTTTCTGGATTCCCCATACCTCCCAACAATGTAAAACATCACTCCCATTTGTGCTTCAATACCAGCAACCGAGCTCCATTGACCCGGAACATCTTCCAGCAACTTCAAAGATTTCTGCAATAACTTCAATGCCTCTTCAGGTTCCTCAAAAGCTTCATACAAGCTAGCTATTTCCGCTAAACCTCCTGCAATGTCTTCCGGCACTGCCCCTGGAACAGGCTTGGCATAGATACGGAGGGCGTTTTCACAATACGATCTTGACTCGCGGAGCTTACCCGTCCTGTAATAAAGATCGGCAAGGCGGACGAACACCAATGCAACAGCCGGATGGTTATCACCTTTGGTGGATTTGAAAACGGTAAGAGCCTTCTGATAAGAGAAGACGGCCTCATCGTATCGACCAAGGGCAAGGTAGGTGTTTCCGACGCTCACGTCTATGGAGGCAACCTCACCCTCATGGCCGTTGGCAATCATCGCCATGGAGGCCAGCACTAAATGCTCAAGGGCCTCGTCATAGTCACCCTTAGCATCGCAGATAATAGCCATCAGGCGTCGATCTGCAGCCTCCTCAATAGAGGCCGGTGCGCTATGCTCTCGGTGGATCTCAAGGGTTCTCTGACAGAGCTTCTCCGCCTTGTCAAACTGCATTGCTTGTACGTGGGCTTCCGCCAAGTATCTGCAAGTCTCGGCGACTCGGGGATCGGAGTCACCTAGGGCTTGGATCTGAATCTCGAGGCCGCGGGAATAACAATCGATGGATTGATCTATGTGGCCGAGCATTGAGTGTGTGTCCCCAAGCTGCATATGGCCGGAAAAGGCGGCGAGAGCGTGGTCCGACCCGCGAGACACATCTGGTACGGCCACCGCGCGCTCCATAATCGGCACCGCCTCCTCATACCGCCCTAGACTACAATATATCGCCGCAGTCACGTGAAGGCTCATCGCCAATTCCAGGCTCGGCTCACCGCTCTCCACCGCGCACCGCTCGAACGACTTGCACGCACGGATCGCGTACTCGAGCGCCTTGTTCGGACCCTCGCCTGAGGCAATCGTGTCGCGCGCGAGCTTGAGCAAGAACGGCCCGAGATCAGGGTTATCCAGGGAGGATTCATCGATGAACGGTTTGTCCGGCGCGGCAGGCCCTCGCCGCTTTCCCCCGAAAGAGTTCCGATCTGGCGAGGGCTTCGCGCGTGACGACGACGACGACGGGGAAGGCAACAGCGACTTCTTAGACGCTGGTGAACGGCCTTTAGCGCTGCGGAGCTCGGAATCATCCCCATTTTCTCTATTCCGGGAGTCGACGCGGTCCGGCACCGTGATCCGGAGCGCCGCCACCTCAGGCGGGGAGACGAGTCCCGGCATGGCAGCTGAGATCTAGGGTTCCACGATGGGAAGGAGGAGATCGAGAATGATAGTTCCAGAGGATAGAAAATGATCGAAGTGGGGATCGAAAGAGGAATCAGGTCTATGTGCTCCCCATCATTTCCGATTTTTGCTTCGCACGCACTCGATCCCAGCTTTCTAACTTTCTCTTTTCGTCATAAAAGAAACTGATAAACGTACCCCTATTATCTGTAATCACACACCACAGCGAGTTGTTTATCAGCCGAACACGTCAGCAACGCTTAATTAAAGGATAAAGTTTAACAGCCAGTTGGATAAGTAATGAAATGACGGGATTAACCTCAAACTGGTCGTTGCGAGGTTATAAGAAGGAGGAGGGTATTTTAATATTTTGACAGATGGTGGTTGGCTGTCGCTGAACCATCGATAACAGGCGGATGACTCACGCGACAAAGGCCGGACGGTGATCTTACCACCCGGGGGGTGCCCGCCACTTCCAACTGATCGGCTCCATTAGCAGGTCCAAGATGGGTAAGAATTCTGAACTATTAACCATTTAAGACCTATTACAAGACCACTCTGACACGCAGCTTCTAAGGACTCGTTGAATTTCTACGCAACTAAACAAAACATGTTACTCAATTATGGTGATGGGATGGAGAGATTAGTGAGGATGCCCTTAAGGAAAGCACCTTCCAGTTAGTTTACTATGCTTTTACTGTTTACAGAGACAAATAGTATGGTTCTCCCCGTTTGGTGTCCGCACAGAATAATTCATTGATGGGTTGACACGGTTAAAGCTAAAGAAGAATGACCACTACCCTTGAGCTTTATACGGTGAAGTGGATAACACTGGATAGCTATATCTAGGTAGAAACTTTATTCTTGACGGATCAATTATATTTTTTTACCCACATAGGAAGACTATCAGCTCAACCAAATAGATTTTTCAGTGTCATAGAAAGCCACCCTAAGAGTTATGAAGACTAATGCTTTATTTGAGACAGCTTTTTTATTTATTTCTAAAGTAAATTTTTAGTACAAAATTTTTTTACTCAAATGAAGCTTAAGGATAGTCATATATATGCAACCTTATTTTTAAAAAATTATAGACGAAAAAGTGAGATAGTAATTTGAACCAATTGTCCTCTTTTTATATAGGCCTTAGCTTCGATGATTGCTCTTAACTTAAGGAGAACCATCCTCTTTGAAGTTATATATTGCAAGCCTACAAGTTTCTATTTAATTTCTCCCTTGAACCACATATCATAATTGTAGGAGGTGAAGCTTGATTATCAATTGTAATAACCCAAGTCATATCATGCAAAATATTATGCATTTTGGTATAGGCCATAACTTATTACTCTATCCTCGAAATTGTTTTTTTATTATTATTCATATAGCATAAGTAGTCCGCTACAAAAGTAATTAATTGAAATTTTTTATGAAAATTTATAACACCAAAAGTTGTTGTATTTGTTATAACGTAACTTTTTAGTTGTATAACCTCATATATTTTCTTCCACATCTAATATGGAAGTATGATCAATCATATTCTACTTATCTCTTAAAAGTCTATCTTCTCAATAATCTTATAAAGAGTTTTTTTTTTGTTGTACCTCAACCTCGAAAATCACCCCTCTCCCAAGTTGATCACCCTCTTCGATCTTTAATTACAAGCAATGTTCATGTTTTAGACATTATTGTTAATTTACTATATATTTTAATATCAGGAAAAATATAGACATCATGACAAAATATATTTAAGGAGTAAGACGTCATGGTATAGTAGCCTCCCGCTTAAGTACGCATCCGTTTAAGTATGCATATTGGTAAAGTATGCAAAATTTTAACAAAAACTTAGGGTTCAAAATTTATAACTTGAACATTTCATGAATGATGATTTAACGTAATTTTTGCAATTTTTTACATCTGACATCAAGGATTACCACCTGAATATTATCTGAAACAATTCAAATGATTTTGCAACGTTGGGACTCATTCATTCGTTTTCCATTTAGTTTCTTTGGCATCTTCCAAAAGATAGGCGAGAGGTCGTACATGAACGTGCTCTAAATCTATTGTTAGCGTGCATATGTGGTGTGGCTTGCAAATGGGAGCAGAATCCTCAACTAAACCTAAGTACGCACCTACCGGTTAGGTACCCACAAAATATTTGGGTTCAACATGCGTTCTTAATCAGGAGTCTATCATATAGAGAAATGATTATGATAGAGCTAGTGATGAAATTATGATATATAATTAAATTTAGTATTCGCATAAGACATGGCATATTAATTTATTCTTAGACATAATATAAAATCTTAACATCTATAACTATTTTGTATAAGGATGTACCCAAGAAAAAAGAAAGAAAGAAAGAAATAGGATAAGTACATATCCTTATGTTTAATCTTATAAACTTGTCATATCAAAAGTTCATGGACACAATAATCAAATTAAGGAAATAAGATACCATACCCAACTTCTCATAGCTACCCAACATAACGTAGTGTGGGTAAATTAGGGTAACAAGCAAGTGTGACAAAAAGATAAAATATGAATATATACATAATCCATATAAGTGATAAAGAGGGTGTATGGTGCTTTTAAGGGGAGTAGTGATGATTGATAGCCATATGATTACTATAAGAAAAATAAGATATTATATTAAATTTCTTGAGATAGTAGATGTGATAGTGGAGAGAGAAAAATAAATTTGGGTATTATAATGATTAAATAGAGCTTATAGACATATAAGTGTTTAAATTAAGAGTAACTATATAGGATGAAGATTTGTTGGTTATGGAAGCATTAACAATTGATATATTAATGTCAAATGAATAGAAGACTTTCTAGAGGAAGATATGGCTTTAGGAAATTATGTATGAGGGATCTTGGAACATTCATAGCAATGATATTTTAAGTAGAACTTTTAAGTAATTATGACATTTACAAGCAAGACAACCTTAAAGAATATGTGCATAGTTCTTACAATTTCGAGACACATAAGACCAAAAATAAGAGTCATAAATTAAATATGAGACCAAGTAATTCCATGATGTATTATAAGAGGCCATGGTTCTTATGAAGTGTCCAGAAGTAAGTACCCAATGATTAAACGTATTACGATATTAGTGCAACCAATAGTCAAGCTACTTATGTCAGATTTTATGCTAGAGTCTAGTTAAAACTAAATATTGTGGGCAATGATATGGTGTCAATATCTACGAGAGAGAAAGAAAAAAATCTTGTCTTACTAATAAATTATGAATAATAGTAATAAATTATAATGACGGGATGCATTAATGATGGGTTGCATGATGGACAAATAAGAGATCATAGCTTAGCAAGATCAATGCAATGATGTAGTGACGTGAACATGAATGTAACTAAAAAGGTGAGCAATATATTCGACTAAGACATTCTAGTGGCACCATTATCATTATCGTATTACAGTGCATAGTCACATAAGGCATAAAGTAAAAATATTTGTAGATAAAAATGCAACATCAATATTATCAGACAAATCAAAGAGGTGGCCAATATACTGTAAAGGTGAGTATATTTATGAGGAATAAAGTATTACGATCATAAGTGCCTTAGTAGTTAATGTCAAAGATTTTTTATAGGCAGGATGCACTGAGGTAGGCCATGTAATAATGGGAGATCGGTAGATGCATAAAGTAGCAATAGGATAATCATGTAACTTACCACATATATAAATGTAGTATTGTTGGATAGTTTTTTAATAACCCTAGTAGATAGATAGGTTGATGATACAATTAAATTGATATTGAATGCACTAGAAGGAAATAGGAAGACAAATGAGGCAAATAAATGAAGGACAAAGCTATAATACCACATGAGAAAGAGATTCTAAGATAGAATTATATTTCTATTTAATAATATGTGTTGTAATTCTATAAAATTATATTTACAAATTATGAGAGAGACCAAAAAAGATTATATAATGAGAATATATTCACCATAGTGGGAAAGTCTCACTTAATAAAAATAACTAGCCTCTCCCATACAATCCATGAGTGCTATCGCTAAAATTTCTTAATACAAAAATAAACATTCCAACACCCACACTTGTAAGAAAGTACTTCTTTTATCAACTATTTCCTACCATACGACGAAGATAAAGATGAAAATAATTATGAAAAAAAACATTTCTATAAATATATTTTTTAAAAAAATATTCAAAAGTAATCTAATTAAACTCTTAAAATTTAAAAGTATAAACACTTATTAAAACATATTATTGATATGTTTAAAATAATTAATTTATGTCTCCTCTAAACAAAATTTCAACCCTCTCATTATAGAACTTTTATTTGGTCCGATCACAGGACTTAGCTCTACGTTCGGCCGCCAGTAGAATCGCGCCACCCGTTCTCACTATTTACCGCGCGCCCAACAAACCGACCCAGAACAGACCCAGGATGGCTCGGTATATCTAGAAAAACTCGGTACAACTCGGTATTGCTCGGTATTGGTCTTCACAGACCGGTATTTCTCGTTATTGTCAAGCAATACCTAGCAATACCGAGCAATACAAAACAAATACCGAGTAATACATCGCAATACACAAACATAGCATTCCCGGGTTCTGGTCCGGGTCAAGTCGTCGGGCCGCGCGGTAAAGAGTAAGAGCACGTGGCGACACGTTATTGGCGGCCGAACGTAGCTCTATGTCCGGTCAGAGGACATAATAATTATAAGGCTACCTTTGGTTAGCCAACCAGCTTACGCATCTGCTTGCTTCGACCATTTTGCTCAAGCCCCAAACCATTCTGCAAAGAGAAAGACCAAAGCAAACACAGACAATATGGAGAAAAAGCCTTTCAATTAAGTTCTTGCATTTCTTCCAAAGTGGGAAAGTCAAGTGAAAATGAGCCAATGTTACAACGCTTTCCTATAAGATGATAAATGCAGGCTGGTAAATAGATTTGTCTCTAGCCTTTGGTTATTGCTGCTTCTATTACAATGATGATGGAGAAAGTTAAGATTTTGTTTGGGATAATTTTTTGTTATTATTTTCTTGTTGTTCTAAAGAAATTTTTATGCTAAAATTTTGTTTTAAAAAGTAATAAGAAAACTATCCCAGACAAAATATAATTTGTGGTAGAAGGAGCTATGGGCTTTTGCCGCCTGGCCCTGGTTTTCCTTTGGGTGGTGGGTCATGCCTAGGGTTGGCTTTCCCATAGTCGTAGTCATTCATAACCAACAAAAACTTCCTTCCGTGAACCTGAAAAACAAGGCATCACAAGAAACCTTTATTATTATTATTATTAATTTTTGGACATTTATGTCAATTAAGACAAACTCACACACAACAAATACTTAAGAGTCGAACTCAATACCGTTTGGTTGATAGCCAAAGCTTCCAACCAACAGACTAATGTGAGCTACATTTGAAATCTTTCTCATTATTTGTCTATTGCATATGTGTCTCCATGACTGAATAAATTATTCTGTGAAGACGTCAACTGGAGATCAACCAGAATGAGCCACGTCACCTATACTGAGCGCGGTACCGAGCGGTATCGAGCCTTGTACTGACGTAGCTCATTCTGGTTGGTTTTCGTACGGCGTTCAGTGTCCGCACATAATAATATGAATTCGATTTGAAAAAGTTTGAATTTGGGATGAGTTAAACATTTTTTTTGGAACGGGGGTATCTATCCGTTGCCACTCCAAAGGGAGTGTTTGGTAGCTTAACTAATTCCTTGGCATAATCTAGCGAAGCCACCCATCGGCATCGTGCCCACACTTGCTTTGCCCCACTGAAAAGGGGAGGCCATAGTAGAAACAATATTTTTTAATTAGGTCAATGCTCAAAAAAAAAATTTTTTGGCCAAACATGTATGATAAACGGATTGTGTCAACTTTGAATCAATTACAAAGCGGACCTACTAATTTGAATTGACATCGCTCTAGAGCGCCCCCATCAAAAAAATATTTTCAATTAGGTCAATGCTCTAGATATAAAATAATGTCAATAATGTCTAATAAGTAATAAAAAAATAAAAGATGAGTGAATTTTTAAAATTAAATACCAAACCTAATTAAATTATTTAAAAATATTTTAAAAAATCAGGACAGCCCAGCCACCCCATGTGGCAGTCTTCTATGTTTAAAATAAAATTTTAATAAAGCGACCTGTAGCCGACTCATTGAGGAGAGATTATTATGTGCGGAGTCTATATGTAGCTTCTGTCTGGACTTCGATGAAAGATGGCGACGCCGTCAATACGCATTATGTACAACGACGAGGCCCTTTCGTATTAGAGTCTGAACGATGTCCGGACTCTATACGTAATAATTTCTCCTGATTGAAAGTATAAGTTCTCAAGGGTCTTGAATTAGGTTCACACATTTTACAAAACAAAATTTAAAAAATTTTAATTAAATACTTTTATGACATAATTAAAGTAACAATAATTAAATTCTAATACATGTTAAAAAATCTTTGAAAATCACTGAAAAAACGAATGTGTTGATTAAATTTTAAGATCGTTCATAATAAAGGATTAATAAATGTTAAGTGACAAAAAAATTAACGTGGCATTAGAGATGGGTTCTACGAAAAAATTAAATAAATAAAAATGCTCAATAAGATTCATTAATTATATCTTAATTTTATCTGTTCTGTAATTCAAATTTTTTTATATCTCGAGCCAACATAAATTCAAATTAGATCCAACTAATGGTGTAATTGAGTCAAGCCGACCCGTGTCGGCTCGGGCTCGGTTTGATAAAAATAGCTCGTGAGTCTAGCTCGATGAAGTAACAAGTCTTGTTTGAGCTAGCCCTGACTCGACTTGTTTATTTACAAGCTTGCTCATTTAAAAAAATATTAATATAAAATATAATTAAAATATATTAACATTCAAGATTTCAAGTTGAAAGTTATAAAAATATTTAAAATTTACATTTTACTTTCTTACATTAAGTAAACTTTTTCTTATTTTTCCTCTAATTTTTATTATGTTTATCATTTTATTATGAGAATGGCTTGATCAAATCATAATCAATTCTTCTCTTTTATTGTAAATGAGCTGACACAAACTCGTAGAATAAAACTCGAGCTCAATCAATCAAGCTCAAGCCAGAAATGACTCAAGCTCAACTCAACTCCTTAATACCAACTCAAGAACGAATCATCAACAACCCAAATCATTACCTTATTCACTTGATATATATCCTCGACACCGCCTTTGCTCTTCGTGCTTTCAACATGACCTGAAAGAGTGAAGCATATTTCATATAACTTACATAACAAATCTACTAAGTCTTCAAAAAAGCAGTTTTCTAATACAAAAATTTCTTATAAGCTGATTTAAAAAACAGTAAGAAAGTCGTCCCAAAGAAGCCTCAATGACTGGTTAAGATTTTGTTTGGGACAGCTTTTGATCACTTTTTTTTTTTCAAAAATTTTTTATACTAAAAAACTACTGTAGAAAATAGTAAGAAAACTGTCTCAAATGAAATCTAAATTATGGAATATAATTAAAATAAATAAATAAGACGAGAGATGTTCTTATGCCTGATGAGAAAGAAACAAAAACCAGAATGAAGAGGATGATGAGTGAAGCAGCGAGCCTTGACATGTTCGCTGCTCTTTGAAGTTCTGCTGTAACTTTCCCTTGGTATATGAATGGTTGGCTCTAATGAGGACTCCTTATAGATATAAATGTGGAGAATGGTGATAGCTTAAGAGAGCAAGGCAAACTAAATATAGCTCCACCAGAAAAAAAAAAAAAAAAAAAAAAAAAAAAAAAAAAAAAAAAAAAAAAAAAAAAAAAAAAAAAAAAAAAAAAAAAAAAACATCATGGCTGTATTGAAGTATAGTGAAATCCATCATCTCCACTAAAAAAAAAGTCAACTTTGATAATTGAAGTTAGTATTTGCACAGCCTTTCTATTCTGTTACTGATACACTAAATGAAAAGCTTTGATGAGGTTGACAGGTTTATTTGATAAAAAAAAATAAAAAAATTCATATATCTCACCGAAAAATTATATATCTGCATATCTATTATCTAATATCTAACTTTTTATTTATAAAATTAAATGCAATTTTTACTTTTTTAGTATACAAATTTTTTTAAAATAAAAGAATAATGGCCGAAAGCCACCTCAAATAAATCCTAAATAAAATAACTTTTATTTTCAACCTATAGAAAAATCCCATATGAAATAACTCAAATTTCTTAAACTAAAATAAAAAAGATTTTGGTTTCATTTGGGATAGCTTTCTTACTGCTTTGTAAAACTTTTTTTTTTAGTACAATTATGTACACGAAAAAATTTCTCTTATCAAAATTTCTCTACAAAATTATTTACAAAAAAAGTCTGCCCGGAAGAAGCAGAGCCAAACAAAGTGGAAGTTCACGTCAGGAAAAATAGCGATCTCAAAAGAAACCGCACAAAAAGAAAGTCAATGAAACCTTAAGGGCATCTCCAACAGAAACTCTCATTTTTCACTGCAAAATGCAGTAAAATTAAAAAGTGCCGTGATTCATCTCCAGTGGAACGCCATTTTACCCCCAAATCATCGTCGTTTCTTTCGCGCCTTTCTTAGACAGAGTTCGGTAGAGAGAAAGAAATGACGAAAGTGAACAGTGCGACGCCAATATTGGCGTCGCACTGTTCATCAGCGACTGAATGCCGGCAAAAATAGAGTTTGGTTGGGACGTCTGAAGCTCTACATTCGCTTGTTTGTCGAACGGCTGGAGAAGGCCTAAGTTGATCTTATGTGTTATCACTCTTACATGTTAGGGGGATTTAAGTAAATACCACAAATTATTATATATTTATATATCTAATAATTAAATATTTATACTTACTAAAATATTATTTATGTATTGAAATCCATCAAAGAATTTACTTTAAATAAAAGATAATATTAATGATATTATTTATGTGATTTATGTACTATTTAATATGATGAAAAAATGCAGAGTAAATAGAATGTAATATAAAACAAAAATAATGTAATCTAAATATTTTTGAGTTGTTTGATTGAGTACATTATAAATGCATGAGTATTTTTTTTTTTTTTTTAAGTTTGAAGGTAA